CCCCTCAAGGCCCCAAAAAAGCAAAGCACCATCGTAGTGTTTTTTGGAACCCTTTTGAAATTTCAATACACCCAGTAGATGCACAGTGAGCACGGAGTTGATTGTTTGGAGTTTCTATGCTTAAGATTTCGTGTAGTCGCCATTGTTCTTAGCCTAGCAGGCGGATAATACAGTGATAAGGTGATAACGAATTGTAGTAAGGAAAAGTAAGAAGAAACTTGTGAACGATGAAGAAGTTGCTTTCCATTATATTTTGCTCGAATCCATGTTCGACTTAATATAGTTATTTGAAATTGTGAACAACAAAAAAATGAAAAAAAGTGGTAAAAGTAAAAAAAATTCTAATGCAATTATTAGTTTGCAGCTACTCACGAGATAGTGAATTTATTTTTATCGGTACTACTTCTTGAGAAGAAAGGTTGCATTGATCGGATATCGAATTCTTTTTGTGTATTGAAAATTGACAAAGTTGATAATAAAATGCAGCAAGCGGAAACACAAAGAAAAATGTGGTCTATGCTTTTAGGGAAAAAGTAATAAATAATGTCAAGACTGATTTTAACTGAAAATTTAAAAAGTCCATTCAATACTGAATGGCGAATTTAAAAAATTTTTTTTTTCCTAATTCAATAATCAGTTGTTTCTAATGAAATTTTGGTATCCGACAAAGAATATAAAAAGTGACGATAATATTATCATGATTTTCATAATTCAATGCTATAATGTTTAGTCTGCTGACACTTTGACCTTAATTAATAATAACATCTGACGTCTGTCAGATATTATTACTGCCACGTGTCGCGATTTACGCATCAGTTGCGTGCAGACTGGAATTCGATTGAATGAACTTAAGGAACTAATTACCAACGCTTCTGGTTTACGTGTTGACGAGGGGCGGGAAAGTTTGAAAATTTATAACAATTTCACGACTGACAGGTACATTCATTCAAGAAACTTCTACTTACGCCGTTTAGATTCAAAAAAAAATATTTATTTGATTTTTGAAAATTTGTTATCACCTTAAATATATATATCAGCATCTTCCCGGTGACGTGTAGAATTCCAAATCGATTGAGTAATAATCCAGCCAAGAATCGCTGACTAGTCACCTCCCAGACACAATGGAAGGTGCACGTGGTCCATTCTGCGAAAGCTGAACTGATTGGAGTATTGATAATAAGATTTATATTTTTCCCAAAGGACCTTTACTGGATCCGATGTACAACAGGGATGTCCCAGAGATAATTTAATCCGCTTACCACCCCCTCGACTTCCACGGTATAAATTACGAAATAAGATTAAAATTTGATACCAATAAAATAATATTTTATTCCACCCCTATTGCAGAGGGGATAAAAAATGGTCCATACGCGGGATAATCCCTTCGTAAAATATATAGTAATCAGGATATCAACTCGTGATGCTATGGTGGTTCCGGTGAGTGGGAACCCCCTATCCCCAATTTTGCGTAAGGGTAGCCAATCATCGCGCTCGGAAAAGGGCGCTTGAATCTGCTCCACTATCGTTCTATCTTTCTTCCGATCGCTCCGATCGAAAAGGATAGACGACACGGTAGTCGCCGGAGCAATGTTTCGAAACGCAACCAATCAAGGATCGGCAGGACACGTTGCTAGCGCCGCATCCTGGGAACTAATTTTCGACGCACCTGAAATTCAAGCAGGAATCGTCACTCGTCGTTGCATCGTCAGTGCGTGCAGAAGTGATAAAGTAATTAGTAGCATAAGTCACTACCGGTCAGAGTTCAAGGTTCAGTCTTGGACAGGTCGTCCACGTGTCAGCGCAAACTACCGGTCCAGCCTAGCATCCGGTAAGATGAAAAATACTGAAATATGAAACTGATATTTTTTTTTCATAAATATACAAAAATATATTTTTGAGATTTTGCAAATCCTGATTTTTATTGATAAAAATTGTATCATTGAAATTAGTGTATTTTTTGTTGAAAATCATTTTTTTTAATCTTTTCTTATAACTTTGCAATTCGATCGTTATCTTTGTTCGTATTGATTCCCTTGAGCCTGCAGTCAAATTTGACTGTCTAAACAGCCAGATAAGCATATTGCTGAGTCGGTGGGAAAGAGTGAAAAGTTTAATTCTTGAATTCGCGTAATATTCACTGAATCGCATCTAGACTCATTCCAATGCACATTCGTAAGTTTTAGCCAGCTCTGAAAAAAAAAAATTTTTTACCTTTGCAAGAAAACTTGCAACCCCCGATACCCAGAAGGTTGTTTGAAAGTTGTCGAAGATATTTATAAATCATCTTAAACATCCTGAAATCTTCTTTGCTTCCTCTTATCCTTCTTTTTCAGTGATTCGAAATTATTTTCTCAAATTTCTGCCAATTTCGGTCGGCTTATGTATAAGCCGTCGTTTCCATAGAAACCACTTGCGACAAGGATCGGCGAGGGATTCACCGTTGTGAAAAGAGCCTTAAGATAATATCTTAAGATAATTAATGAAATCATCACCTGCTTATCTGACGACATTATATTTCAATTCGTTCGATTAGCGTAGTCATATTAAATCCACGTTTTAAACGTGCCCTAATTACCTGTCAAAATATATTTTTATCCTTTCGCTGACAGTTTTCATTGAATCGAAGAAAAAAGGGCAGATAAAATGGACTATTTGACAATAACAGATACCGGGCGGGACGAAGCTGCCAGCGACAAGGCGAAACAGACGATCGAGAAGGAATCTTCGTCCTGCGTCAAATTTCCGTTTTCGTAACGACTTGAATAATGCTGCCAACCAACTGGTAGTGACAGAAGCGTCGCCCAGCAATTCTATGACAACGAAGACGCTTGGCAATTCCACGCGGAATTGCGCAATAAATAAAATCCCTCGAACTCGGTAAACTACGTTGAAGGAGTCTCTGTCGCTACCGGAAAAACCGGACGAGTCCGTTGATACCGATAGCAGAGTTTTTAGTGTTGCTTACACTGTGCACCCCCTGCGAAAAAAACTGACGAAGTGTTTAACGTTGCATAAAAAAAATATTGTCTAGAATACAAAGTTGCCACCGGGTATAACGTAGGGGTAGTATTTGAGGTATCGCGCAATTTTATGGATTCCGGGTAAATAGCAGGAATACCATAACGCTAATATTTGAAATTGTGGAATCCTCTTGAAAAATCGTCCCCCGTAAGTAGCCGGTGATACTTTTTGATCGAGTGTCGAAAGTGCGTCGAGGGGTAGTTGCACGGTGAGTACAAGGGTGGTAAAGAAATAAGATGAGACAGGTTAGGGATGAGCGAGGGTGAGCATTGTTGGTGGGATATTTAGTTCTTTTTATACGTGGGTGAGTGGAGGGGATAAAAGCATGGGATTAGGGGCGAAGGAGATCAGGGAGTGAGGGGTGGTTCGGTCGAGTGGAAGGGGGTAGGGGTGAGGTTCCGATACAAAGCAGTATGGGCAGTAGCGATGATAATAGAAATAGTGGGGATGATCTTGAGAGGGTGGGGATCGTGGTGGGGGAAGGTGGTTGCTAAGTGGGGCGGAAGGGTAGATCATGGAAGGGATGATGGGGGTATTGGGACCGACGCAGTCCTGTCGGAAGCGTCGCGGCGTGCGGACGTCTTCATCGAAGCTCGGCGCTCAGTTGTCTCCGCTGTACATCCTTGAATATAATAATAATAGTAGGCAGATATCACGTCACTTTTCATCCCTTAATTATTATTATCGTATCCGTCCCATGTAATTCTGTCAAATTTAGGGGCGG